TTGGGTCACACCCGGCAATGCTCAGGGCTCACTCCTGGCTCTGCACTCAGGAATCACTCCTGGCGGTACTCGTGGAACCCTACGGGATGCTGGGACTCAAACCTGGGTCGGCCACATGCAAGGCAAATGCCCTACCCGCTGTGCTATTGCTACAGCCTCCAAAATAAATTTTTAAAAATCAAAACCAAAACTTGACTTTTTTCTGTTTTATTCCCCACCCCCCCTCCTACTCCTGCACACCCAGGTGGTGGTGCTCAGGGCTGACTCCTGGCTCTGCACTCAGGAATCACTCCTGATGGTGCTCGGGGGATCCTGTGGGGTGCCAGGGATCGAACCCGGGTCGGCTGCGTGCAGGGCAAAACGCCCTTCCTGCATTATTATCACTCCAGCCCACACCACTGATGTCTTGTAAAGTATTATCTTTGGGGCTAGAGCAATAGCACAGCGGGGAGGGCGTTTGCCTTGCACGCAGTCAACCCGGGTTCTATTCCCAGCATCCCATAGGGTCCCCTGAGCACCCCCAGGAGTAATTCCCGAGTGCAGAGCCAGGAGGAACCCCTGTGCATCGCCGGGTATGACCCAAAAAACAAAAATAAAAATATTATCTTTGCTTTTCAATCCTTCTCGCTCCTGGGCACATTCCACAGTGTCATTCCCCGTGCCAACATCACCAACGACCTTCCAAGGGCCAAGAGGGCACTCCTGGTGAGTTCCGGGTGTTCCACCAGCTGGGCTGAGGGTTTCCAGCACAAAAATAGAATTCTGGCATTGTCCCCCTATGCCACTGGTTGGGAAAAGATTCCGAGACATTTCAAGAGCATTTCTCCAAGTTTCCTTGAAACCCGGCGTGGCTGTGTGTCTGGGGAGGCAGTGACCCAAGGCTGCACTGTGACTTAGTTTAACAGGACAAATTTGGGGCTGGAGCAATAGCACAATGGGGAGGGCTTTTGGCCTTGCACGCGGCTGACCCGGGTTCGATTCCCAGCATCTCATATGGTCCCCCGAGCACTGCCAGGAGTGATCCCTGAGTGCATGAGCCAGGAGTAACCCCTGTGCAATGCCGGGTGTGACCCAAAAAGCAAAAATAAAAATAAAAAGACAAATTCAAGACTGGAAGAAATAGGACAGGGATTGGGCAGCTACCTAGCATTCTGCTGATCCGGGTTCGATTCCCTGAGCCTCACCAGGAGTGATAGGGAGCACCATCACTGGGAGTGATCCCAAAGCAAATACATCCACAGAAGGATTCAGCTGCCAAGGGAATTCAGAGTTACCTGGTGTTCTGCAAAGGACCACCATTTTGGGGGGGGTGCAAAGGGGGCTTACCTGAGCAAGAGTGTTTGAGACTCTCCAGATGAAGCCCAAGACAAGTTTTTTCTCTTTTTATTTGCTTTTTGGGTCACACTCGGTGATGATGGGGAATCATTTTCATCATTTTCTAAAGGTGAAACATGGGGGCATGGTGCTGCCAGGAGGTCACCCTGTACCCGCGGGGTGAGTGCATCAGCAGCCTGATGGTGCCTTCAGGATTCCTGATACCCCCAAATTGCCACTGTGCCTCTGGCTGGACCCCAACAACTCGGGGCTAAATTTCCCGAGAATTTAAACGGTCAAAAGTTAGGGTTGGGGGGGGGCTGGAGCGACAGCACAGCGGGTAGGGCGCTTGTCTTGCATGCGGCTGACCCAGGTTCGATTCCCAGCATCCCATATGGTCCCCCAAGCACCAACCAGGAGTAATTCCTGAGTGCAGAGCCAGGAGTAACCCCTAAGCATCTCCGGGTGGGACCCAAAAAAAGAAAAAAAAGTTAGGTTTGTGGGAGCCATGCCCACAAACTACCTCTGGCTCATCTATACAAGCTCTAAAACTGATCTTACTCCAGAGACTCATAAATAAATCTCAAAAGAGATCAAAAGCCGAAGTTCATCTCAGACCTGCGCATGGATGAACAGACCAGGGTGAATCAGAGGAGGGCAGGTCCACAATCCAAAATCACCACCATACCCTTGGCCTGACTCCGCTGTCTCAGGACAGACCTCGCCAAAATGTAAGGTAAAGGTAAAGGTAAAGGCCCTCCCGTTGATCGTCGATTTGCTCGAGCGGGCCCAGTAACGTCTCCATTGGAGACTTTGTTGTTACTGTGTCTGGCATATCGGATACTCTCGGTAGCTTGCCGGGCTCTCCGAGAGGGGCGGAGGAATTGAACTCGGGTCGGCCATGTTGGCCGCTTGTAAGGCAAACGCCCACCACTGTGCTATCACTCCAGCCCCAAAATGTAATCTGATGAAAATTTGGGTAGGCGGGGTTTGTGACTGAAATCTCCAGGTTTTCTTGGGGTCAGGATGGGTTACCTCCCCCCACTTTTCTCTACTCCAGGACAGTCACCCCCATGAACCAACTCCAGTGCCACCATGCCAGCTCTTCTACTAGCCTTGCTGGAGAGATCCGTAAATTGTGAAAAGAAAAAAATAAAATAAAAATAAAGATTGGGGCGGGAGCATAAGCATAGTGGGGAGGGAGTTCGCCTTGCACGTGACTGAACTGGGTTCGATTCCCAGCATCCCTGAGAGTCCCCCGAACACCACCAGGAGTGATTCCTGAGTGCAGAGTCAGCCCTGAGCATCACCAGGTGTGACCAAAAAGCAAAAAAAATTTTTTAAAAGGTGAAATGGCTCTGACACTCCCAACCACCACCCATCACCGTCTTTTCATTTGGGGGCTTCGAGTGGGTCAAGCCGGCTGACGCTCAGGGCTCACTCCCACCAACAGTGCTCAGGGATTACCGCTGGCGGTGCTGGGGGACCCTTTGTGGTACCAGGGATCAAACTCCGGCTTTCCAGAATGTGAAGCCACGTTCAACCCTGCGAGCACCCGCCCCCAGCCGGAAGGAGACTACAGGCGGGCAGCAGGGATGGGGGTGAGGGGCTGTCCCCATGCAGACTCCATCCCAGGAATTTGGGGCTACGGTTCTCCAGAGTCAAAGGTTTTCTCCTCTCCTAGGGTGCGAGGAGAGAAGTCCCGGAAAATACTCCTTTTTTTTTTTTAAATTTAATTTTTTTTCTTTTTGGGTCACACCTGGAGATGCACAGGAATTACACCTGGTTCATGCACTCAGGAATTACTCTTGGTGGTGCTCGGGGGACCACATGGGATGCTGGAAATCGAACCCAGGTCGGCTGCGTGCAAGGCAAACACCCTACCCGCTGTGCCATCGCTCCAGCCCCGGAAAATACTCCTTAATGGGGAGCTAGGCCTGAGCTTGGGGGGGGGGGGGACACGGGATGCTCCCATCTCACAGGCTGACTTAGAGGCACCCAGTGTTTATTTTTGTTTTGGGGTCGAGCGGGCACCAGTAACGTCTCCATTGTGAGACTTGTTACTGTTTTTGGCATATCGAATACGCCACGAGGAGCTTGCCAGGCTTTGCCATGCAGGCGTGATACTCTCAGGAGCTTGCCAGGCTCTCCGAGAGGGGCGGAGGAATCGAACCCGGGTTGGCCAAGTGCAAGGCAAACGCCCTCCCCGCTGTGCTATCGTTCCAGCCCAATGGATGAACAACGGGAGGACAGTGCTACAGTGATACAGTGCCTTTTGGGTCACACCGGGCAGTGCTCAGGGCTGACTCCTTGGCTCTGCACTCAGGAATCACTCCTGGCGGTGCTCGGGGGACCCTATGGGATGCCGGGGATCGAACCCGGGTCGGCCGCATGCAAGGCAATCGCCCTCCTCACTGTGCTCTCTCTCCGCCCACTGGGTTCTTAGATAAGGCACCTTGGCCACTGCTGCCCCTGGGCAGGACAGGGAGGGTCTGATGGGGTTCACAGTTCCGGTTGTGGTGTGGGCTGCTCCCTGCCCAGTGCTCAGGGATGGCTCTGAGGCGTGTGCAGAAGTGGGCACAAAGACACACTCCTGGGGGAGAAGCAGCTGCTCAGGCCAGGCTCCCCTCTGCAGCAGGGCGGGGTGTAGACCAGGTGGGCACCCTCTGCCGGTTATACCCACGGTTATACCCACGGATCCCCACAACCGCCTCCAGTATGGCCAGGAGTGCAAGTGCTGGCCGGGAGGAGAGACCCCATAAAACAGTGTCTCAAGTCACTGGGGCTCCCCCACCCCCGGCCTCCCTCAAACTCAGGGGCAAGTCAGGCCTCCTGGGAAACACCAACTGCCGGGACCTCGAGGGGATGTGGGGGGACACGCCGGCCCTCCCGAGTGCCCCCAAACTCCTGTCAATTCATCCGCAGATCAGGCCCTCATGCGCACCCGCCCCGACCCCCCCCCAACGCCTGCGCCCCAAGATGCAGGGCGCACCGCGAAACAGCGCAACCCCACACCCAGGCGTGCCTCACCCTGAATCACTCCCGCGCTCCCCAAAACACTCCCGTGCTCCCCAAAACTCAGGCACACCCCGCGCCCTCAAACACTCCCACACGCCCCAAAACTCAGGTGCGCCCCGAGCCCCCAAACACTCCCGCGCCCCCCCAAGACTCCTTCGTGCCTCCAAAGACTCCCGCTCGCCCACAAACACTCCCGCGCCCCCCAAAGACTCCCGCGCGCCCCCAAGCACTCCCTAGTCCCCCCCAAGACTCCCGCGCGCTCCCAAGCACTCCCTAGTCCCCCCAAGACTCCCGCGCGCTCCCAAGCACTCCCTAGTCCCCCCAAGACTCCCGCGCGTCCCCAAGCACTCCCTAGTCCCCCCAAGACTCCCGCGCGCCCCCAAGCACTCCCTAGTCCCCCCAAGACTCCCGCGCGCTCCCAAGCACTCCCTAGTCCCCCAAGACTCCCGCGCGCCCCCAAGCACTCCCGCGCGCCCCAACAATCCCACGCGCCCGCAAACACTCCCGCGCGCCCCCCCAAAGACTCCCGCGCGCCCCCAAGCACTCCAGCGCCCCCCAAGATTCCCGCGCGCCCCAATTATCCCACGCGCCCGCAAACACTCCCCGCGCGCCCCCAGCACTCCCACGCCCCGCACCCCGCATCCCTCCCGCGCCCCCCAAACACTCACGCGCGCCGGGAGGTCCCGCGGGGCGAGCAGCGTCGCGGGCCGGGGCCGCCGCATGGTCCCCGCGTCGCAGAGGGCCCGGCCCGGGCGGTGGCGCGTCGGGGACGCGGGCGAGAGTCGCGCAAACGTCCCCGAGGCGCGGGCGGACGCGGAGAGGGAGGCGCCCTCGGAGAGTGGCCGCGGACCGGGCGCCTCCGCCGGCCACTCGGGGTCCTCGGCCCGCCCCCGCCCCGCCCCTCGGCCCGCGCGTCCTTCCCGGGTCCAGCGCCCGCGGGGGCAGCTTCCGAGACGCCTGATTGGCTTCCCGGGCGGGGGGGCCCGGGGGGGGGGGCCCGGGACAGGGACTCTCAAGGTCCAGCGTGTGTCACTGTCGCGGGGAGGTGACCTCGAGGGTCACCAGAGGTTCCTGTGAGCCCTGATGCCCGTTTTCCATCCGATCCCTTAAGTTCAAGGCTGTCCCTGCCGCGGGTCGCGGAGGGCGGGGACCCGGGTCGCGGTGAGGAGCAGGGGCAGTTGGAACTTCATTTCGTAGAGAAATTTATTTTGTAGAGAAACAAAATGGAAAGCCCAGAAGTCCTGAGCGCAAGTGGAGGTATAAGGGGTGGTATCAGTGGTATCAAGAATAACCTTTATTATTCCTAACGCTTTCTGGAAAAACACACACACACACAAATGCAAAGACCAGCCGCCCAGTCCCCTTCTCCCTCTTCACACGTTTTTAATTTTGACCTCAGATTTTCACCTTTTCTCACACCCTGGAACCTCAAGCCTCACACCTACTCCCCCGACCCAGACCCCAAGCGAAGTGTGGTGAGATGTGATTTTGTTATCAACACTCCAATCCTGGTGTGGACAGGTAAAAGCATGCCAGCACCCCCGGAAATGCCCCTGAAATCTCTTTTATAAGCCCCCTAACTTCCCATGTATCTAAATAATTCTAACAACTTTTTTTTTTTGAGAGGGAACACACACCTGCATCTAGAAATCACTCCTGACAGTGCTCAGGGATGCTGGGAATCGAACCCGGGTCGGCTGCATGCAAGGCAAGCGCCCTCCCCGCTGTGCTATGGCTCCGGCCCCACCAGCAACTTTCTAAGCTCCTCTACGCTGAGGTTCCTTTTATTTCTGAAATTTTTTTTTTTTTTTGGTCACACTTGGCGATGCACAGGTGTTACTCCTGGCTCTGCACTCAGGAATTACTCCTGGCAGTGCTCGGGGGACCCTATGGGATGCTGGGAATCGAATCCGGGTCAGCCGCATGCAAGGCAAACACCCTCTCCACTACTGCTCCAGCCTGTTTTTAAAATTTTGATGAAGGGAACCGCATCTGACTTTCCTGTGTGTGACCTCTTTCACTAGGTCCTGTGGGGTGGGGGGACCCGAACTAGTCCCACTTCTGTGCTCAGGGCCCGTGGTCTCCAGGCCTCCTGCACGCCAAGCTGGTGTCCAGCCCACTGACCTCTCTCCCTGCTCCAAACTGCTTTTTTCTGCTGGTGCAGAAAAGCCAGGTGGGAGGGAGTGGGTCTATTTACCTTGAGTTAGACCGTGACGGGCAGTTTTTCCACGCGGCCATCAGCTCTCCTCGCCCTCCGAGGACGTGCTGGACCGTTTCCAGCAAAAGGAGCCCGCACCAAAGCTCTGGATACCAGTTTTGGGAGTCCCATGCGCCCTCACGCCTCTGAGACACAGGTAGGTGGGCACGCTGCTGTCTCTGCCGGGTCAGGGGGTACATCTCTGTCCCCACTAGTCATGGCCAAGTGACCGGCTTCATCATCACATCCTTGAGTTTTGTGGGGCTGGAGCGATAGCACAGCGGGGAGGGTGTTTGCCTGGCAAGCGGCCAATCCGGGGTTCGATCCCCGGCATCCCATAGGGTCCCCTGAGCACCACCAGGAGTGATTCCTAAGTGCATGAGTCAGGAGAAAACCCTGAGCATCACCGGGTGTGACCCAAAAAGAAAAAAAAGGGGGGGGGCTGGAGCAATAGCACAGCGGGGAGGGTGTTTGCCTTGCAAGCGGCTGATCCGGGGTTCGATTCCCGGCATCCCATAGGGTCCCCTGAGCACCACCAGGGGTAATTCCTGAATGCAGAGCCAGGAGTCAGCCCTGAGCATTGCCGGGTATGTCCCAAAAAAGCAAAACACACACACACACACACACACACACACACACACACAAAACGCCAATGAAACAAACCAAAAAATGTTGGTAGTTAGGCAGAGCTAAAGGCTATTTGGGTGTTTTCCAGAAATGAGCCCTTGTTGGGGGTGGGAGGTGGGCTGGCTCACCCTGCAGTGCTCGGGCTGGCTTACTCCTGACTGTGGCCGAGGACCCATACTGTGGAGTCAGAGATGCCCCATCATCTGGCAAGCCGCCACCCTCCCCCCGGCCCCAGCTGCCGGCAAGCGAGGGGAGGGGACGGCCTTGCTGTCTCGGCTGGATCTCTGGCCACCAGCGCAGCCCGGCCCTGGCGTCCTGCAGGCCCGAGGCTGAGGCCGCGTTCACTGATGCGCGCTGACAGCTGCAGGATTAAAAGCAGCCTCCAGAGCTTTCTAGAGCCCATTCTCCTGGCAGCCGGCTTTCACTCAGAGCTGGGCGGAAAGAGACTCTTTTCATGTGAGTGAGTGTGTGTGTGTGTGTGTGTGTGTGTGTGTGTGTGATGAACAGGTTTGGAGAGGGGGAAAAAGAACGAGGCGGGGAGCGGTGGAAGTAGGTGCCTCTGTCTATACATCAAACTCCCCGCGATGCCGAGGGATCAGGGAGAGGACACAGAGTGTCATCGCGGAAGTGCCTCTGCATTAGCTGCATCCGTTCGGCCAAGCGGCCTCTCGCTCAGCCGGGGGTCAGCAGAGCAAGCCCCCCCCCAAGTTGGAGCCTGGACCCCCACCGGCCAGAAGGGTTGCAAAGCTATTCAGAGGGGCTAGTGGCAGCAGAAGGGGGTCCCGTGAGAAGGGGCTCGCTAGCAGGGCTGCGCAAGTCAGACACACACACAGACACCCGAGCTGAGTGATGGGGACAGTTCGCCACCGCCACCAATCAACTCTGAAAAGGCCACTGATGCTCTAGGGACGTGTGTGGGCTTGAGGCAGGGTCCTGGGGGCAACAGAGGAGTGAGGAAGAGGGTCCCTCTCGCCCTCCCGGCCACCAGCCCTGTGCTGGGTACAGAGGCCTGTTTGTTTGTGGGACCCTGAGGTCACCGTGCCAGACAGACGCCCTGGCTTCCAGACGCACGATGGAGACCCAGTTCGGGAAAGGAGATGCTGCCCGTCACCCCTCCCCCCTACTACTGGGGTGCGTTGCCTCTTAATCCCTGAGACCCTGGGTAGTGGCAGCCGTGATGAGTCCCCATGATTTAAGGCCCAAAGCAAGGAGCCCCTCCCCCACCCACCCGAACCCGGGAACAATTTCAGGGAAACATGAACTTCCCGGAGGGGAAGTGGCCCCGTGCCAGCACCCAGGCCCACGGCCCACCTGGCCTTGGTGTCCCCACAGCTCACAGCAAGCGGAACCCGGTGCCTGCCTGTGCCCTCACCACCCCTGGAATGTCCCTTCGTCCCTGCACTGTCCTGGTCACTTATAGGAGAGCAGAGGAGATGTGTAGCTGAGTGACGGCCCCTCCCTGCTCCTACGGCACCTGGTGTCCAGGCTTGCTGGTTATTTCTTTTTTTAATTTTTTAATTTTTTTTTTTGCTTTTTGGGTCCCATCCAAAGATGCTCAGGGCTGACTCCCAGCTCTGCACTCAGGAATCACTCCTGGCGGTGCTCAGGGGACCCTATGGGATGCCGGGGATCGAACCCGGGTCGGCCGCATATAAGGCAAACGCCTCCTTGTGACTCTATATTATTATTATTACTATTATTTTTTCTTTTTGGGTCACACCCGGCAATATTCAGGGCTGACTCCTAGTTCTGCACTCAGGAATCACTCCTGGCGGTGCTCGGGGGACCCTATGTGATGCTGGGAATCGAACCCAGGTCAGCCGCATGCCAGGCAAATGCCCTCCCCGCTGTGCTATTGCTCCGGCCCCTGGGTGTGCTGGTTATTTCTGTCTGGTTTGTTTGGTGGTGCTCAGGGCTGACTCCTGACTCAATGCTCAGGAATCACCCTTGAAATGCTCAGAACTGACTCCTGACTCAGTGCTCAGTAATCACCCTTGAAATGCTCAGAACTGATGCCTGACTCAGTGCTCAGGGATCACCCTAGAAGTGCTAAGGGCTGACTCCTGACTCAATGCTCAAGGGTCACCCTGGAAGTGCTCAGGGCTGACTCCTGAACTCAGTGCTCAGGGATCACCCTGGCGGGCTCAGTGCTGACTCTAGGTCCTGTGCTCAGGGATCACCCTGGCCAGCTCAGTGACTATACCCGGTGCCGGGGACAGAATCCGGGTCGGTAACTGCACCGTCAGCTTCCTCCCCACTTGCTCTCACTCAGCCCCGCTGAGCCTGTCAGAACCGGCAGCCCTCACTGGGCACCTGCTGGCAGCAACCGCCTCTCACTGAGCGAGGCCACGAGGGATGCAGGGAGGAAGGGCCAGGGCTGCCCCTCTCCGTCCGCCCCCACAGACGCTTCCGCCCCCAGAGCCCGCCTCCCCGGGCTGCCTCCCACCTTCGGGAGCTGCCCCAGATTTCCAACCAGCAGCAGAGGCTGTTACTCATGGGCAGGGAGAGATGGGGGAGGGGACGATGCACTTCCAGCAGGAAATCTGCTTCCGTGCCCCCCAACCCAGCATGTGGCACCCCTCCTCCCAGCCAGTGGGGACGGGCAGGCCCAGCGCAGGCCGAGGAGAGGGCAGCTGTCCCTGGGCTGGTCCCCAAGACCCAGGGCTGGGCGTGCCAGGAAGGGAGAATGAATGGGTTTGGCTTGGCATGGAAGTTTGGAAATGACCATGTGGGGGGTTTCCTGCTCACTGGGAGAGGTGGGGCAGGGAGGGCCAGTGTTGTGGTGAGACCTGTCCTTGGTGCTGAAAACACACATGCACATAGACACACACACACAGACCCACATACCCAGACATAGACACAGACCCACATACACATACACACACATGCACATATACAAAGACATACACAGACACAAACACACAGACACACATACACAGAGACACAGACCTACATACACAGACACACAGACACATATACAAAGACATACAGATACAAACACACATACACACAGACCCACATACACAGAGACCCAGACCCACATACACATACACACATATACAAAGACATACACACAGACACACAAACACAAACACACATACACAGATATCCACAAGCACACACACACAGACACGTACAGAGAGACACATACGCAGACATATATAGACACAGACACAGACACATACACATACACACACACACACACACACACATAGAAAACTCAGAGGCTGATGGGGGTCACAAGGCGAGAGCAGGAAGGCAGGTGGTGTGGCCCAGAGCTGTGGGGTCCGACCCACGAACCAACTCAGACAGCCCCCCTCCCCCCCACCCCCACCTGGGACAAAGCCAGCCCCAAAGCCACATCCTTGTCACAAGATGCCACAGATGCTGCTACCAGGCCGGAGACGGTCCCGGCACCCCGCCAGCCCCCAAACCCAAATCACAAAACCCTCCTGGGAACCTGCTTCTGCTGAATCAACTCGCAATGTTGCTTCTACATATGTGTTATATATGTACATATATATTTATGTGCACACATATTTTTATATAAGTGTATATCTATACATTGGGGGGGCGAGGCTAGGCCACACCCAGAGATGCTCAGGGCTTCCTCCTGGCTCTGCACTCAGGAATCATTTCTGGTGGTGCTCGGGGGACCCTATGAAGGGCCAGGTATGGAACCTGGGTCGGCCACATGCAAGGCAAGTACCTTCCCTGGTACTATCACTCACAGGTGGGAGAGGCAAAAGGAAGAGAGAGAGAGAGGAGAGAGAGGGCTGGCTTGGAGTGAGCTTGCCAGGCAGTTTGTGTCTCTCTCAACACGGATCACAGAACATCAGTTTTCCAACTTTTCGTTTATCAAGGCATGATACATTCCACGAACACCCAACCCCAAGCCCACCCCCACCCAACCTCCTTTAAGTGACTACGTTAACCAAGGGCGAACCCAGAATAGGGAACGTTCGACAGAAACGAAGATGAACTCCAGACCCCAATCCCCACGCAACACGGCGACCCGCCGGCCCCTCACCCCGCTAACAGACACCCCCAGAACTGAAGGCCTTGCCCCGTGCCCCGCCCGGGGCTCCTCGTCCTCCCGGCCTCGCCCTGTGCACGCGGCTCCGGTCCTTCGACCCCAGCCTGCCTCCCCATTACACCTCCATCCTCTTCACGCTGGGGTACCAGTGCAGGAAGCTTCTGGAGGTGGCCAGGCGCGCCGCGGCCCCCAGGGCGGCGGTGGCGGTGCTGCGGGGGATATAAAGCTTCTGTGACATCTGGGGATCGGGGGACAGGATGAGGGACAGCTGGTCCATGGCGCCGGGGCTCCGCTCCGTGAACAGCGTGATGGCGTGGCTGCTCCCGCCGTCCCCGGGGTCCTGGGGGTTCTCTGGGGGGCTTTCCGCTGAAAGAGAACGAAAAGCCGTGTCTCGCGTGGCTTCGCACACGCCCGCTCCCGGTCCTGACTAAGACCCGTGTGACAAGCCCCCTCTGACGGGTGGCGGCGACGGGGACCGAAGTAGGGACACAGACAACGCCAGGCCACAAGGACAGAGAAGTGAGGGCCGAGCATCAGACGCAGACAAGGACAAACGTCCTTGTCAGAAAAGGAGAAGCAGGTCTGAAATGAGCAGGGGAAGTTTTTTTCCCCAGGGCACCCCAAAAGCAAACAGCAGAGGCTGGGGTGGGACCGCGGGGAGGGCGTTTGCCTCGCATGCAGCCGACCCGAGTTCGATCCCGGCATCCCATAGGGTCCCCCAAGCCCCACCAGGAGTGATTGCTGAGCACAGAGCCAGGAGTCAGCCCTGAGCACAGCCAGACGTGGCCCCAAAACCAAACATCAAAATCCCAACCAACCCCCACAGGGGCTCGCACTCCAATCCCAGGAAGAGAATCCTGCAGTTGCCCAACTTCCTTCTAGAAAAATCCAGAAGAGGGGCTAGAGCAATAGCACAGCAGGGGAGGGCGTTTGCCTTGCACATGGCAGACCCGGGTTCGATTCCCAGCATCCCATAGGGTCCCCCGAGCACCGCCAGGAGTGATTCCTGAGTGCAGGGCCAGGAGTCAGCCCTGAGCATCGCTGGGGAGGGAGGGAGGGAGGGAGGGAGGGAGGAAGGAGGGAAGGAAGGATCCAGAAGGCGCTCCCCGGGGTCACCAGGGAAACCCTCGCTAGCCAAGCATCCCAGGGGGGTCACCAACCCTGACGTGAGCCCCTCGGGTGGAGACCCAGGTCAGGTTCTGTCGGAGGCGGCGTCCCCGACCCCGGGCTGGGGGCGTACCCGGGCCGGGGCGCGCGGTGGGGGTCTCGGCAGGGGTCTCAGCGGAGGTGGGTGTGGAGTCCGGTGCAGGGCTCTGCGGGGCGGTGGGCTCCCCGGGGCTCCCGGCCGGCTGCTGGGCCTGGATGAGCGAGATGTAGAATTCTTCCAGCTGTGGCAGCGACGAGAAATCCAGGGGTTCTGGGGAGGCCGACTGCGGGAAAACGGGCAGACAGGAAGGCGGCGTCACTCAAGGAACCCGGAGGACCCCGGACTGTCTCTGAGGGGAGGGGGAGAGTGGTGGGGGGGCCATCCCAGCGGCTCAGCCAAGAAACACGCCCTGGACCTCAAGGATGGCCCCGTGACCGAGGAAGGAGAGAGAAGACACTGGCCGGGCCCCAGCAGACACAGAGCTTGGAAAGCCCCCCGTACCCTCTCTTTCACCGGCCCCTGTCTCTTCACTGACGCAGCACAAGGTCACCTTTGTGGACACCCTGGTACCCACGTCTCCGTTCCTGCAGCTTTATGCTCTTTTCTGGTTTTGTTTGGGGGCCACACCTGGCAGTGCTCAGGGATGACTCCCAACTCTTGTACTCAAGGATCACTCCTGGCGGTGCTTGGGGGACACTATGGGATGCCGGGGATCAACTGTGTGCCAGGCAAATGCCCTCCCCGCTGTGCTATCACTCTGGGGTCCCTCGTCTTAATTTGATTTTTGCTTTTTGGGTCACACCCGGCAATGCCCAGGGGTTACTCCTGGCTCTGCACTCAAGGATCACCCCTGGCAGTGCTCAGGGGACCATATGGGATGCTGGGAATCGAACCCGGGTCGGCTGCATGCAAGGCAAACGCCCTCCCCGCTGTGCTATTGCTCCAGCCCCATTTTTTTTTCTTTTTGGGTCACACCTGGCCATGCACAGGGGTTACTCCTGGTTCTACACTCAGGAGTTACTCCTGGCGGTGCTCAGGGGACCATATGGGATGTTGCGAATCGAACCCGGGTCGGCCGTGTGCAAGGCCAACTCCCTACCCGCTGTGCTCTCTCTCCAGCCCCGCCCCAATTTTTTTAAAATAAATTTTTGTTTTCTGTTTGGGGGCCACACCTGACAATGTTCAGGGCTGATTCCTGGCTCTGCGCTCAGGAATCACTTCTGGTGGGGCTCAGGAGACCCTATGGAATGCGGGGGATCGAACCCTGGTCGGCCACGTGCAAGGCAAACGCCGTTCCTGCTGTGCTAAAAAAAAAGTGGGATAAATTAAATTACATCCCAGAAATGTCCCTATCAGCCAAGATGAGCCCGACCAAGAGCTCCCAGCACCCTGAAATGGGCCTGGGAGCCACAGAAGGACCCCACAGCTAGAATGTCACCGAGAAAGAGGAGAAAACCACGGGACCACCTCTTTCCTGGTTTCAGAAAATATCAGGGGCTAGAGCAATAGCCCAGTGGGGAGGGCGTTGGCCTGGCCCATAGCCGACCCGGGTTCGATCCCCGGCATCCCATAGGGTCCCCCGAGCACCGCCAGGAGTGATCCCTGAGTGCAGAGCCAGGAATCAGCCCTGAAACAAAACCTGAAAGTCGACATCAGGGCCAAGGCCAGCCGACATTTCAAGAATGTTCTATGTAATGTGGCATGTTTTATGACCACTAACACAGTAACCAGGTCCTGGAGGAAATATATCGCCCAGAAGATTCATCTGCCATAAACTTGTCTCCAATAAGTCTGTCATATTTGAGACCTGTATTCTTTTGGAGGGGGGAAGGAGAGGATTTGGGTCTCATCTGGCAGTGCTCAGGGCTAACTCCTGGTGCAGGCATTGCTCCTGGTGGTGCCTTGAGGACCACAGGTGCGGCAGGGATGGAACCCGGGTCATCTGGTGTGTCTCTCCTCTGTTCTCACTGCCTGGCCCCGATTCCTGTACTTATGATTCAACACCTCCTCACCGAAGCCTGATTTCTATCAGCTGTCCTGTTTTGCGGATACTCGTGATATAGCCGAGAAACCGTCAGCGGTGGATTTTGTCCTCGGGTTAATCCTAACGGGCAAAGCACTCTGCTTTCTGTCAAATATCAAAGACGGAACTGACAGGATGGAAGCAGAGTCTATCATTTCACGGCTCAGCTCATGAGAATAGCTCTTCTCTCTGGCCGGGGCCGGGGATCAAAGCCTGGGGCTCCACGCACCAGGCATGCGTTCCGCTAACGAGCCACCGTTCGATCCATATGCTCTATTGCTCACCTGGAAGTTCAAGTGTCTTTCAACGTTTGGTGCAGAATTTCCAGGGGCTGGAGCGATAGCCCAGCGGGGAGGGCGTTTGCCTTGCACGCGGCCGACCCGGGTTCGATGCCCAGCATCCCGTATGGTCCCCTGAGCACCGCCAGGGGTGATCCCTGAGTGCAGAGCCAGGAGGAACCCCTGTGCATTGCTGGGTGTGACCCAAAAAAAGAAAAAAAAAGGAGAGAAAAAAATTTTCCTTCGGAAGAGAGGAATCCCAACATGAACGAGCTGGGAAGCCAACGTCCCCCACTGTCGGCTGTTCTGCCAAGGGCCGAGAGGGGCTCGCTGGGCAGGATTCCACTTTCTGAGCATGCGTGGACCCCCGCACATAGCCCAGTCATCTGCACTGGCCTGTGACCAATGCCTGAGTTTTTCTCTGGCACCTTCAACCCTTTAGGGCTATTTGTTTTGGTTTGTGGGGGTGGGGCACTCCTGGGAGGGCTCAGGGGACCATATGGGATGCCAGGGATCGAACCCTGGTCAGATGCGTGCAAGGCAAACGCCCTCCCCACTGTTCTAATGCTCAGGACCCGCCCTCTGTGTTTCTGAACTTGAGCTTTTTTTTTTTTTTTTTTGCTTTTTGGGTCACACCCGGCACTACTAAGGTGTTACTCCTGGCTCTGCACTCAGGAAATCACTCCTGGTGGTGCTCGGGGGACCCTATGGGATGCCGGGGATCGAACCTGGGTCAGCCACGTGCAAGGCAAACGCCCTCCCCACTGTGCTATCACTCTGGCCCCTTGGGTGATTTTTCATAGACATTTAGTATCCAGACAGCACACAGGAGCTGGAGAGACAGTATGGAGAGGAAGGTGCTTGGCTGGCAGGCGACCGACCCAGGTTTGATCCCGGCACCCCAGATGGTCCCACAAGCCCCCTAGGAGTGATCCCTGATCACAGAGCCAGGAGTCAGCCCGGAGCACAGCCAGATGCGGCCCCCAAACAAAACAAACCAAACAGCAAACATACTAAGAGGCAAGTTAAGCACGACTCTTCTTCCTCTGAGAAAAGATTTTGATTTGAATCCAGTTGTGCCCAAGACTGGCCAATATTCTCCCTGCAAAGACCCAGAGGCCAGACAGGGCCAAAATCAAGCACCGAAGGGAAAAGGAGGGAGGGAGAGGTTAGCATCTTGAGGTGGTGAGGGTAAGATAAGAGTCTTCTTTTTTTTTTTTCTTTTTGGGTCACACCCGGCAATGCACTGGGGTTACTCCTGGCTCATGCACTCAGGAATTATCCCTGGCAGTGCCCGGGGGAACATATGGGATGCTGGGAATTGAACCCGGGTCGGCCGCGTGCAACCCAGGATGGCGTCTGTGCTGCCTGGGAGTTCCACATTTTTATGGGGGTCTTCTCCGCTACCGCCTCTCTTTGCTCTGCTGCTGTCTGGGGTCACACACCGGGGCAGGCTCTGGGGCACCCCGGCCTCTGGCTGCAGGGACCCCAACAGGGCCCCCGGGGTTCCCACTCCACTTCCGGCTCCTTAGTTTTCTCACCGTGGGTCTTTCTGCGCACGTGCCAGCCGGGGGCGACCCGGGGATGCCAGGGGTGGCCGCCTCTCCTCTGCCCACCACGGCCTGCAAGGGCAGCCAGCTGTCATCCCAGATGTCGCCGCTGACGGTCACAGACTCCAGGCGCGGCATTCCAGAGGGGATGTCCTCCTGGGGAGGGGTGGGGGACACACACTCACTGGGGGCCCTGCACGCCAGCCCCACCTCGACTTGCAGAGAGAGGCAGTTTACAGCCACTGGGAGGAGGGGGGACACAGGGGTCGCGGTCAAGAGAAGGGGACCATGAAGAGGATGATGCATTCGGAGTCAGCGGGGCAGAAGACACAGCTAATAGGGCAGCCACAAGAGGCCTGACCTGGGCATGGCACAAGATGGGAAAGGCTCAGACCCAGGACCGCCAGGCATAGGGCGCAGTGGGAGGTGGGGCCGCAGCTGAGGCTGGGGCTTAGTCAGGTTCTGGGGTTCCCTCCTGGACATCAAACCCTCCCCGACACACACACACACACACACACACAAAGTTAACGTGAGTCGTCATGGACTGTCCTTCCCCCGCTTGAAGCCTCTGACTGCCTGGAGGAGGTGACCAAAAGTATGAAGGTGCCACGAGCAGTGGACAGAAGTGACAATCCAGGGGCTGGATCAATAGCACAGCGGGGAGGGCGTTGGCCTTGCATGCAGCCAACCCGGGTTTGATTCCCAGCATCCCATAGGGTCCCCCGAGCGCCGCCAGGAGTGATTCCTGAGTGCAGAGCCAGGAGTCAGCCCTGAGCATCACTGGGTGTGACCCCCCCCCAAAAAATGATGGGGGATGGGGGTGCTGCTTTGTACATGTTGGACCCGGGTTCGATCCCTGGCACCCCTTAGGGTACACTGAGCCCTGCCAGGAGTGATTCCCGAGTGCAGAGCCAGGAGGAACCCGAGCATAGCAGTGTGAGACCCAAAAAAAAAAAAAAGTGACAATCCAGGGCAGTAGGGAGGGCATCTGCCTTGCACATATCTTTCTCGGGTTCGATCCCCGGCACCTCCCAGGGTCCCCCACCCCCGCCAGCACAGCCAGGAGAGAGCCCTGAGCAGTGCAGATGTGGCCCCGAAAAAACAAAGATTTCCCCTCAAAACACCTTATAAATGTTTCCCCTGCTGGGCTGTTGCTGGTCCTCACGGAAAGGTGGGGGGGTCAGGGATGCTCAGAAGCCAGAAACCACCCCCCCCAGTTCTGTCTGAGCCCCTGTGAGGAGCAGCCGAGAGGCCTGTGGGGACGGCAGCGCCCGTGTGCAGCCCCCGCTGACTCGTCCTCCTACCTCGGTTTCCTCCCTCAGTTCCTCGGGCTCGGGGATGGGTCCCGGGGGCGCCAGGTCAGGAGTCTTCCCGGAGCCCGACTCCCTCTCCCTCAGCCCGTCCGGAGGCTCCGACTTCCGGATGCTGCCGGCCTTCTCGTCACTGGCATCGTGCTAGAAGGACAGAGAAGCCCTTTGAGGCCCCACATCTGTGCCATGAACCCCCCCTTTGGGGGTACTGACCAAGCTCCCGGCAATCAATGTCCATCAGGGAGGGGGTTGGAGTGATAGCACAGCGGGTAGGGCGTTTGCCTTGCACGCAGCCGACCCAGGTTCGATTCCCAGCATCCCATAGGGTCCTCCGAGCACCGCCAGGAGTGATTCCTGAGCACAGAGCCTGGAGGAACCCCTGTGCACCACCAGGTGGGACCCAAAAAGAAAAACAAAAGAGCCACCTGAGTGTGAAAATCTCAACAGCACTGGGGTGCAATGAGGGGAGGGCGAACCCCCTGGAATGCTTCAAGACACGGGGTATCGGGCTGGAGTAATAGCACAGCGGGTAGGGCATTTGCCTTGCATGCGGCCAACCCGGGTTCGATTCCCAGCATCCCATAGGGTCCCCCAAGCACCACCAGGACTAATTCCTGAGTGAAGAGCCAGGAGGAACCCCTGAGCATCGCCAGGTGTGGTCCAAAAAGAAAAAAAATAGAAATAAGGGGCCGGAGTGATAGCACAGTGGGGAGGGCGTTGGCCTTGCACGTGGCCAACCCGGGTTCGATTCCCAGCATCCCATAGGATCCCCCGAGCACTGCCAGGAGTGATTCCTGAGTGCAGAGCCAGGAGTCAGCCCTGAGCATCGCCGGGTGTGACCCCCCCAAAAAAGACACGGGGTATTCCAGGGACCAAGCCACAAATGGGGGGTTGGCAACATTCTAATGTAGATGGGGGCTAGAGAGAGGCCACAGGAGTTAAGGTGAACAAGCGTTTTACCCGAGACTGGCACCCCAACTCAACTTGTGATCCCCAAAGCATCCTGGTCCCCCAGGGCCCGCAAGCACTGCATCCCCCGAGTTCTCCCACAGAACTGCTCGACCAGCTGGAGGAATCTCTGGAGGGACCCCTAGACACCCCTGAGCATCGCCTAACACCATCTGCAGAATCACAGGTTTTATTTGTTTTGGGGGCGGAACTGTGATTGTTTCTGGGCCGCACCTGGCAGAGCTCATGACTTAACTCCTGGCTCGGGAATGACTCGGAAGAGCTTGAGAGAACCCTAGCGTGATGGAACCCAGGGCAGGCCCCTGGTGTGATTCAGTGGGTGCTGGGGGGGCCTGCCAGCAGGTCAGGGGGTTACTGAGAAATGCCAAATTGAGTCAAGAGAAGCGTTGGGCTTCGTGCAGGTGAATTCACAAGAGCAGCGAGGCAGCAACGGGATTTAAGAGGCGCCGGAGAGGCAGAAGGAAAATAGAGCAGCAGAGAGGATGCTGGTCGCTGTGCAGGCCACCTTCCCTGGGGCTGGGAAGCCTATGGCCTCCGCCCTAACCAAAAGGTGATGACAGAGGCAAGCTCTTGGGGTGATTGGGAGCGCTACATAACACGTCACAGTTACAGAACTTGCAACACCGTAGCTCTGCAGAGAGAAAGTGCCCAACTATTAGCAATAACAAAAATGATGGGGCTGGAGCCATAGCACTGCAGGGACGGCGTTGGCCTCGCACGCGGCTGACCCAGGTTCGATCCCCCGGCATCCCACGGGATCCCCCGAGCACCGCCAAGTGTGATTCCTGAGTGCAGAGCCAGGAGTCATCCCTGAGCCCCGCTGGGTGTGACCCCCAAACTATCCTGTCAAGAAGGGAAAAAATGACAATAATAATAATAATAATAATAATAACATAAAGGTAATATCAGCAAAGCTCCTACCGGGGCACAGGACTCGCCCTCCTTGGGCTGCGCGCTGACCTCCCCGTCTTCGCCGAAGTAGTGCTGCAGGGACAGGTGACCCAGTTCTGTCACAGCAGCAGCCTCGGGTCCGGAGCTGGCTTTAGTGTACAGAGCTAAGGGGTTGAGCTCGCGGAAGCCCTGCGGGGGTGAAGAGAAGGAGGCGTCAGCCACAGGCTCAAGTGGGGGAAAAAGCTCTTCGGCGCTTTCAAGTGTGGTCGCAGCACTATTATCTTCAGAGATCCTAGCGAGAAACATCTCCACAGTGAGTTTTTCTGTTTTGTTTTGTTTTGTTTTGCTTTTTGGGTCCCACCCGGCGATGCTCAGGGCTGACTTCTGGCTCTGCACACAGGGATCACTCCTGGCGGTGCTCGGGGGACCCTAGGGGATGCCGGGGATCGAACCCGGGTCGGCCGCGTGCCAGGCAAACGCTGTGTGATTGCTCCAGCCCCAACCCTCTCAGTCTAAAAGACCAACAGTGCCCAGTCTGGGTGGCTGACGTCAAGAGAGAGAACTCTGCATGGAGCGGGCAGGCATCTGGCGGGAAGCAAACACAGTGGGCAGGGGGCCTGGTTCAAGGCCAGCACCCCAGGCCCTGAGACCTTCTGGGTGTGGTGCCTCCACCCCCCAAAAGCAAAAGGGGACAAAGACAGGAGCCCTGGGCACAGGGTGTGGCTCAGCGGTGGAGCGCGCTTGTCCCGGCTCCTCCAGCCTCCAAGGTGACAATCTGGGACGTCTGAGGTCCACGAGGAAACCGAACGCCCTCCATGTCAGAACTGCTTCTCCCCGGGAGCGCAGAGTGAACTGCACACAACGGAGCTGTGTGCGCCAACTGCACCTTGGAGGGGACGTTCTCCCGGCAGACGATGGCGTGGCCCTCGGTTCTCAGCACGTGATGGAAATAGACGTCCTCGTTGGAGGACGTGTCACACAGGAAGATGTTCAGGATCCCGTCCACGTACTCGTCCACCACCCCGACCAACGGCTTCAAGCCGCACAGCTTCTGGAACTGCAAAATGGCCTTGGCTGTCCAGTGTTCCTGCAACGGAGCCGAGGAATTAGATGTGGGAGGTCGTGTTCACTGTCTGTTGGTGGTGCAACCCTGGGGGTTGAGCCCAGGAGCTCACACATGCAGCCCTCCACCCCGAGCTCCATCCCAGCCTCAGACACTGCAGTTACCATGGCAATACAACTGCTGGTGGGCTAGGAATTCAAGGGAGCGGGGGAATGACAACACTCTGAAGGATATTGAGATTTGAGGATGAAAAAAGCCAGAATCAAAAAGAAAAACGAGGGGCTGGAGCAATAGCACGGCGAGCAGGGCATTTGCCTTGCACGTGGCAGACCCAGGTTCGATTCCCAGCATCCCATATGGTCCCCCGAGCACCACCAGAAGAGATTCCCGAGTGCATGAACCAGGAGTAACTCCTGTGCATTGCTGGGTGTGACCCAAAAAAGAAAAAAAAAAAGAGGGGACGGAGAGATAGTACAACAGGTAGGGCGTTTGCCTTATATGCGGCCGACCCAGGTTCAATTCCCGGCATCCCATAGAGTCCCCCAGGCACCGTCAGGAGTGATTCCTGAGTGCGGGGCCAGGTGTAAACCCCTGAGCATCGCCAGGTGTAACCCAAAAAGCAAAAAAAAAAAGAAAGAAAGAAAGAAAAACGAGAGCTGGAAAGAGAATGGCAGGCAAGGCACTCGCCTTGCACGTGGTGGACCCTGATTTTATCCCCAGCACCCCAAGCACTGCCAGGAGTGACCCCTGAGCACAGAGCTAGGAGCAAACTCTGAGCACTGCTAGGTGTGTCCCCAAACAAAAAAAAATCCCAAGAGAAATGCACAATTAGGTGCATAATGGCGACACTACAGACAAGCCTGGTACGGATGAAACGCCGGAGAACTCTGCCCGTTCTCTCGGCTCCTGAGTGGGGCCCCAGGTTTTGACTTCTGGGGTCTCCGGCTCACATCACTTCCCACAGTGCTCCCCCACCCTCAGCCTCTCTCAAAGCCCCTTTGCCCGGGATGGATTTTTTTTTCTTTTTGGGTCCCACCCGGCGATGCTCAGGGCTGACTCCTGGCTCTGCTCTCAGGAATCACTCCTGGTGGTGCTCAGGGGACCCTATGGGATGCTGGGAATCGAACCCGGGTCACCTGCGTGCCAGGCAAATGCCCTCACCGCTGTGCTATCACTCCAGCCCCCAACCTGGGATGAATTCTGTGTCCTGTCACATTCCAGATCTTTCTGGGCTCCCCTCCATCACCTCCTCTGTGAGCTGGGGCCCCGCTGGCCACAGGCACGGCGTCTCCTTCCACACGGCGCTACGAACACTCCCTTGGCAGCCCCCACTGAGCACCAGCACCATGTCTCCGCGTTCCCCGCCACACTGTCCGGGGCTGCCGGCCACGGTGCCTCTGTGTGCCCCAAGAACCTGGGACATGAGCCAACATACCTCGACCGGCCGGACCCACGCCAGCGAGCAAGGGATGGCCTGGGCTGGAAGCTTCGTGTAGCAGCACCTGTGAAGGGTGAGAGGCAGAGACAAGGGCGTTTCGGTCCCTTCAGAACCACCGTAAACTCACTTCTTGATTTGGGCTAGTCACGTGATTTCAAAGTGTGTGTGTGTGTGTGTGTGTGTGTGTGTGTGTGTGTGGAGAAGGGTGAGGGAGGGAGGGGTCATGGCGATGTGCTCAGAGGTTCCTCCTGGCTCTGTTACTCTGGTGGTGCTCTGGGGACCACACGGCATGCCGGGGTTGGAACCCTGGTCGGCTGCATGCAAGGCCAGTGCCCTACCCACTGAACTATCTTTCTGGCCCCTATTCGTGTCATTTCGGGCCTTTTACTTCATGCGCTGTTAAAGCTGATGTTCTGGGCTAGAGAGAAAGTCCAGCAAGTAAGGCTCTTGCCTTGCACACAGCTGACCCTGGTGCCATTCGCCACCCTACAGAGGTAGGGAATGAATTACTCCTGAGCACTCTTGAGTCCTGCCAGGTGGAAGCCCTGAGTACAGACTCAGGAATGATCCCTGAGCACTGCCAGGAGTTTCCCAAAAATCACTGCACTAAGCACTGTCCTCCTGTTGTTCATCGACTTGCTCGAGCGGGCCCAGGAACGTCTCCGTTGTGAGACTTGTTGTGACTGTGTTTGGCATCTCGAATACGCCACGGGGAGCTTGCCAGGTTTTGCCATGGGGGGCGAGATACAAGCCTGGTAGCTTGCCAGGCTCTCCGAGAGGGGCGGAGGAATCGAACCCGGCTCTGCCAGGCTGGCTGTGTGCAAGGCAAACGCTCTACCGCTGTGCTATTGCTCCAGCCCTCCCCAAAATCACATTTTTAAAAAATAAATATGTAAGGAGTCTGACCTTTGTGCTTCTCACTATAACTTCTACCATGATCCCATAAATATTTCCCGCACTGAGAAACTGCAACAGGGTCGGAGCCATAGCACAGCAGGAAAGCACCTACCTTGTAAACAGCTCACCCAGGTTCCATCCCCAGCCCCCCATACAGGTCCCCTGAGCCCCACCAGGAGTGATCCCTGAGCACAGAGCCAGGAACAAGCCCTGAGCCCTGCTCAAAAAAACAGAGAAGGAGAGAGAGAGAGACACTCAGAGACAGACAGAGAGAGAGGGAAAGAGGGAAATCAAGAAGAGAGAGGGAGAGAGAGAGACTGCAATTATTGTCAAGGTCTATTCAGGATATTACCACATGAAGGCAAGGTACCGAGAGTATCTCGCCCGCACGGCAGAGCCTGGCAAGCTCCCCGTGACGTATTCAATATGCCAAACACAGTAACAACAAGTCTCATGATGGAGACGTTACTGGGCCCGCTCGAGCAAATCGATGAACAATGGGAGGACAGTGACAGTGACCACATGAAGGCAGGCAGAGAGATTATAACTTATCTGTAAAACTGAATGACAATTTGCCATGTCTGTACTCAGAAGAAAAAAGGATGGAAAGGCAGGAACGAGAGGGGGGAAAGGCAGGACCAAAGAAAGCTCCTGACCCCACAGAACTCCCACATTCTGATCTGGAGCCTATTGAACCCCCTAAACACTGAAACTCTGGGGCTGGAGACAGCACAGCAGGGAGGGTGTTGCACGCGGCCAACCCGAGTTCGATCCCCGGCATCCCCTAGGGTTCCCTGAGCCCCGCCAGGAGTGATTCCTCAGTACAGAGCCAGGAAGAACCCCTCCAAAAAAAGGAAATGAAATAGATCGGGGCTGCTGAGAGATAGCACAGCGGGGAGGGAGTTTGCCTTGCACGTCTTGCATGCTGCCCACCCGGGTTCGATCCCCAGCATCCCATAGGGTCCCCAGGAGTGATGCCTGAGTGCATGAGCCAGGAATAACCCGACAATCGCCAGTATGACCCAAAAAGAAAAAAAAAGATCCCTGAGAGATTGTCTGCTGTAGAGGCGGGGGGAGAGGTGGGATGGGGGGCTTCCTGGGGACATTGGTGGTGGAGGATGTGCACTGGTGGAGGATGGGTGTTTGATCATTGTATGACTGGAACTCAAACAGGAAAGCTTTGTAACTGTATCTCACGGTGATCAAAATAATAATAATAGGGCTGGAGTGACAGCACAGCAGAAAGGGCGTTGGCCTAGCACCTGGCTGACCCGGGTTCGATCCCCAACATCCCAAAGGGTCCCTCGAGCCCCACCAGGAGTGATTCCTGAGCGCAGAGCCGGGAGTTGGCCCCGAGCATCACCAGGTGGGACCCCCCCCCAACCCTGCCCAGCGCCGACTCACTTGAGGAACCTCAGGGAGGACGTCTGGACGGCGCCGATATTCCCGAAGTCGGGGTAGAACACTTCCACCTCCTGCTTGCCAAGCACCCGATGGATGATGACACGGTACCACCACTTGTCCTCGGAAATCCTGACGCAACACAGATGGCCCGGCTGGATGTAGCGTTCCGGCATGGAGTAGCGATCGGAAACCAGCTGGTTGGAGTAGCAGCGCCTGGGATGGGCCGGGAGGGACAGGAAAGAGCAGAGACCACCCGATACCTCGGTGAGGGGCAGCGAAGGCTAACGGAGAAAAAAAAATCCTCTCTCTCCTGGTCTGCCAAGGCCTATTTATGAATGTCGAGTAGGTTTATTTGCTTTTTGCTTATTCAAATCACTTCTCTTCATCAACAAACATCTTTTTTCTTTTATTTTTTTTTTGTTATTTTTGTGGGTTTTTTTTTTTTTTTTTTGCTTTTTGGGTCACTCCCAGCGATGTACAGGGATTCCTCCTGGCTCATGCACTCAGGAATTACTCCTGGCGGTGCTTGGCGGACCCCATGGGATGCTGGGAATCGAACCTGGGTCGGCTATGCAAGGCAAACGCCCTACCCGACATTCTTTCACGTGGTAATTCGAACCTTCATTCTTGCTCACATTCTCTGCTGTGAAGACTGTAATTCAGCCTCACACCCCAGCACTTTTTATTTATTTTGCTTTTTGGATCACACCTGGTGATGCCCAGGGGTTCCTCCTGGCTCTGCACTCAGGAATCACACCTGATGGTGCTCGGGGGACCTTATGGGATGCCGAGGGTCGAACCTGGGTCAGCTGCATGCAAGGCCAACGCCCTCTCCGCTGTGCTATCACTCCGCCCAGCCCAGCCCTTCCTAATGGACATTTGTAAGGCATGAGTTGCTGATTCCCAAACAAACAGCAGCTGTGAGCCTTGGCTTTGAGCGAGGGCCCTGCACTGCCCTCCCAGCTCGTTTCCTCCGCCCCTCCTGGAAGTATTCCTCTGTCCTCGATGGCTGGCTCTCGGGCGCCCTCTCCTGGATAAACCAAATAAGCGCTGGGACTTCAACCCAGCAAACCAGGTTCAAATCCTACCTCAGCCTCTCACTCTCTGGGATCTCCTTGTGCAGGGAGGGACGTGGGCCAGTCTCGGTCAAAGTCTGTGCATGTGGGCACTGAGACAGCTGGGTGGACTGAACGCAGGCTTCTGGGGTGGAATGGCCCTGGCCTTACCCCCAGCAGTGCGCGACCCCCCCATCACTTCCAGGTGCAGTTCCAGGCACAGAGCCAGGAGGCGCCCTCATGTCTCATGTGCAGTGAGCTCGGCCCCAAGTACGCACAGGAAGTCTGGGCACGGTGACAGGAGAGCTCCAGCACCACCAAGGGAGTCTCTCCCACTCCCCAAACTCTTACTATTATTATTTTGCTTTTTTTGATTTTTGGGGTCCCACCTGGCGAAGCTGAGGGGTTATTCCTGGCTCTGCACTTAGGATTCTGGTGGTACTCGGGGGAATTCTATGGGATGCCAGGAATTGAACCCAGGTCGGCCACATGCAAGAAAAACACCCTGCCCACTTTACTATGGTTCAGCCCCTCCCTAAACTCTTTATGATGCCCTGATTTAGATGTTGCAGACAGGGAAAAAGGCCAGCAGAGGGTCTAGGAGCGCGCGGCCCCAGCTTGATCCCAGCACACAGCCAGGATGAGCCACAGACCCCCAGTACCTCACAGCGGCCCCAAGGGTCCCCACACCACAGCGTCCTAGCCGCCCCCATGCCTGGCCCCCAGTACTGCGTGGGAGACATTTCCCACCCATTCCCCCCAAAAAAAGCCCAGAGAAAGAAATTTCTAACTGAATGTATTCACCAAGGCTTGACATCAACAGGCCAAACCCAGGCTTCAGGCGTCTGAGGCCCGGGAACCAGCCCCACACAGAGAGGAAGAAAGTCCCCTTAGGTTCCGTGTGGTACCCAGCCAGACGTCTTTAAACACTTTTACGAACGTGGTATCTTGCAACAGATGAGAGAGAGAGCGGGTACGATGAAAAGACAATTTTCTCCGTAATTAAGCAAAAGATTAAAGCTGATTAGCATAAATGTCTAACAGTGACCCTGGTGAGTTCTTTTTTTACTTTTTAAAAAAAATTATTTATCTTTTGCTTTTTGGGTCACACTCGGCGATGCACAGGGGTTACTCCTGGCCCTGCGCTCAGGAGTTACGCCTGGCAGTGCTCAGGGGACCATATGGGATGCTGGGAATCGAACCCGGGTCGGTCGCATGCAAGGCAAACGCCCTACCCGCTATGCTATCGCTCCAGCCCCGCGAGTTCTTTTCTTGGGTTTGTTTGTTGCTTTAGGGGCCGTGTCCAGCGATGCTCAGGGCCAACTCCTGGCTCTGCACTCAGGGATCACTCCTGGCGGTGCTCGAGGGACCCTATGGGATGCCGGGATTCGAACCCGGGCCGGCTGCGTGCTAGGCCAGCGCCCTTCCTGCTGTGCTACCACTCCGGCCCCGTGGGGAGTTAACTGTTTTCGCTGATGAGCGGGAAGTGGGAGGCCAGGCCCGACCTACCTCATCTCGATCATCATGTCCTCCAGCAGTTCCGAGGAGTCGCGGCTGTAGATGCGGACGTAGAACTGGCTGGGGGAGATGATGTACTCCACGAAGACCCCCACCAGCGTGCTGGTGTCCAGCGGGGGCAGCCGACTCAGCTTTTTGTCCCGCACTGCGTCAGGGGGGATGTCCGGGATGGGTGCGACCCGGCTCACCTGGGGTTTGTTGGCTTCTTCTTGCTAGGGTAGAGAGACACTGTGATTCCCGGGAGGCCGGTCCAGATCGGGGCCACCATCCTCAGACTCTGCTACTACACACTCTCAGCCTTTCTCCCCGATGAGGACCATGATCGGGCGTTTTCCAAACGCCTCCTCAGGGGGCCAGTGAGATGGCTCAGTGGGTTGCGTGCACACATGCCCATGATGTTGGGGCTCAATCCCTTCACCACCAGGTCCCCAGAGCACAGCCAGCACCCCCCCTCTTCACCACAAAGGGAGAAGTCCCAGGTACAGCCCCAAGTCCAAAGCACCAAAAAGAGACACCCCGGGTGGGCCCTTCCTTTGGTTCAACTGGGAAAACTGCCCCTTACATTGAGTTCTGGTCTTATTTGGGGGACCACACCCAGCGATGCTCAGGGCTGACTCCTGCCTCTGCACTCAGGGATCACTCCTGGAGGTGCTCGGGGGACCTTATGGGATGCCGAGGATCGAACCCGGGTTTGGCCGCTTGCAAGGCCAACACCCTCCCTGCTGGGCTATCACTGCAGCCCCTGAGTTCGGATCTTATACGACTATTCTCTGCAAATGCAAACCAGGGGCTTCAGACCCCTCGTGGTCATTTATTCTTGCAGTCTGAGTACGAAGTTTCTCTGATCGTGTGAGGGCTGGGAGCCTCAAACCCTCCGGCCCAGGAAACCTTGGGGAACAGTTTCCATCTCACACCAGCCTCACGGTCAGGAGGGAGCCAGAAGGGAGGGAGGGAGGGAGAGAAGGAAGGAAAGAAGGAAGGGAGGAAGGAGGGAAGGAAGTAGAGGAGGAGGGAAGGAAGGAATACTTATTAAGAACCAAGACTGTGGGGCTGGAGCGATAGCACAGCAGGGAGGACATTTGTCTTGCACATGGCTGACCCGGGTTTGATCCCCGGCATCCCATAGGCTCCCCCGAGCACTTCCAGGAGTGATTCCTGAGTGCATGAGCCAGGAGGAACCCCTGAGCATCGCTGGGTGTGACCCAAAAAGCAAAAAATAAATAAAAATAAAACGAAGAATGGGAGGAAGGGAGGGAGGCAGGAAGGAAGGAAAAGGAGGAAGAAGGAAGGGAGGGAGGGAGAAAGGAGGGAGGGGGAAGGGAGGGAGTGAAGGAGGGAGGAAGGGAGGAAGGAAGGAAAGGAGGAGGGAAGAAAGGAAGGAGGAAGGGAGGGAGGGAAGGAAGGAGGGAGGGAGGAATGATGGAAAGAAGAAGGGAAAGAGGGAAGGAGGGAGGGCAGGAAGGAGGGAGGGAGGGAGGGAGACAGTGGGAAAGTAGGAGGGGGGGGGAGGGGGCGGGCAGGGAGTTTTCTGGAGCCATGGGAACAGAGGCGCCTGCCTGAAGGACAAAGCAGAGATGGCCAGCGAGCCCGTCCCCGGGGTAGGGACACGCAGCCCTCCCTGGCCGCGAGGCGGGCTGACATCCTGAGGCGACACCCTGAGACCCCACAGGGACCCTCCGCAGACTCCCAGGACCCGGTTCCTTCTCTCGAGGAACCCCGAGTGAAAGACGGGGGTGGGGGTGGGGGGCCACCGCGGCCCCGGGTCCACTCTCCCGGAGACTGTCTGTCTGTACAGAATTCTGGTTCATAGGCGGACAGACAGCTTGCCTTGCGTGTCACTGACCCCCCACCAGCCTGACCCCCCCACACATCCCCGGTCCCCTACTCACCAGCTGCAAAGGCTTCACCACCAGGTTCGGCTTCTTGCAGACCCTAGTCTCGGGCTCCCGGGGGGGCTTGGAAGAGCAATCCCACGGGGTGCCCTTGGTGGCCGCGGCGGGCAGCGGGGCGCGGGGAGGGCTGGCCACGGGAGCTTTGGCCTCTGGCTTCTGCTCGGCCTGGCCCTGGGTGGAAGGGGCGGCTCCATCTGAAAGGGTCAAAACGGGGCGGTCTGTGGGCTCCGGGAGGGAAACCCGGAAGCTTCTGGGGTACTGGGCACGGGTGCCAAGTGTGGGGGACACAGGGACAGATGCGGACGCCAGAGCCTCAAGCCTCAGCACACACCGACCACGGAGAAGCGCAACACACAGATCACACAGGACCTGCGCGTGGGAGCGGGTGGGGCGGGCAGTCTGGACCAACCCCTCCCTTCCTCCCTCCCTCCCTCCCTCCTTCCCTCCCTCCCTCCTTCCCTTCCCTCCTTCCTCCCTCCCTCCTTCACTCCCTCCCTCCCTTCCTCCCTCCTTCCTTCCTTCCTTCCTCCCTTCCTCCCTCCTTCACTCCCTCCCTTCCCCCTCCCTCCTTCCTCCCTCCCTCCCTTCCTCCCTCCTTCCTTCCTTCCTCCCTTCCTCCCTCCTTCACTCCCTCCCTCCTCCCTCCCTTCCTCCCTCCTTCCTTCCTTCCTCCCTTCCCCCCTCCCTCCTTCCTCCCTCCCTCCCTTCCTTCTTCCTCCTTTTCCTTCCTTCCATCCTTCCTGCCTCCCTCCCTTCCTCCCATTCTTCGTTTTATTTTTATTTATTTTTTGCTTTTTGGGTCACACCCGGCGATGCTCAGGGCTGACTCCTGGCTCTGCACTCAGGAATCACTCCTGGCAGTGCTCGGGGGACCCTAGGGGATGCCGGGGATCGAACCCGGGTCAGCCATGTGCAAGACAAATGTCCTCCCTGCTGTGCTATCGCTCCAGCCCCACAGTCTTGGTTCTTACTAAGCCCTATGGACACAGACAGCACCCAGGAGGCGGTGCTACAGAGCCAACGCAGTCTCTCTCCTGACCCCTCCGGGGACCCTGATGAGAGGCAGGCTTGGGGCCCACGGGGTCCACTCACCACTGGGCAGTGGCTTCACGTCGGCATCAAACACCAGCAGGTCCTGCTCCCCTTCCCGGAACTCCACCCGCAGAATGTCGCTGAGGGCTCCCACGAGTTCCGTCACGTTCAAGAAGCCCAAGGTTTTGGGTGAAAGTTGCTCTTTGAAAGTCATCTATAGGGGCCGAAGAGATAGTGCAGTGGGTAGGGCATTTGCCTTGCACACCGCAGATCTGGGTTCGATCCCCGGCATCCCATAGAGTCCTTGAGCCTCACCAGGAGTGATGCCTGAGCACAGAGTCAGGAGTCAGGAGACAGCCCTGAGCACCACCAGGTGTGTCCCCAAAAGAAAACAAACCCATAAAAAATCATCTGCTACACACACAAACACACACACACACACACACACACACACACACACACCGGTAACATGAAACAAAACATAGAGCACATCCATGAAAACGTACACAGATGCCCTGGGACATCTGAGACTGTCTCAGCCCAACTGATCTGGAAGGTTCCATGAGCTCAGGTTCTACAGGCCAGACTGATTCCAGGTAGGTCTAGGACAGATCAGGAGCACCCTTGTTCCCCCCGACCCCCCACCCAAGGCTTCTAGGCCCCCTTCAAGTTCCTTTAAGGCAATCGACCCACCCTGGCAAATCAAAGCGGAAACGAGGGGGCGTTTTATTTTTCATTCTAAACTGTCACTGTCACTGTCCTCCCGTTGTTCATGGATTTTCTCGAATGGGCCCAGTAACATCTCCACTGTGACACTTGTTACTGTGTTTGGCATATCAAATTCGTCACGGGGAGCTTGCCAGGCTTTGCCGTGCGGGCAAGATACTCTTGGTGCCTTGTGGGGCTCTCTGAGAGACGGGGAGGAATCGAACTCGGGTCGCCCATGTTGGCCGCTTGTAAGGCAGACGGCCTGCCCACTGTGCTATTGCTCCAGCCCTCATTCTAAAAACATAAAGCAAAATCTTTTTTCTTCTCCAAAGATAGGAGGGTGCACACCGGATATAGAAATCATCGTAAAATGGTTGGTGTTTCTCTATTTTCAGAGAAAAGGATTCTCTATGACTTCCTGCACATAATAGACACCATTTTTTTTTATTTTATGAGTTACCTGACATTCCCGAGTTAGGGTGGGTCATTTAACCAATGCTTTATCTTAATTGGGGGTTCTGGGGAGTCACGTGGCCATTCCTGAGTCCGTACTTCGGGACAAACCCTGGCGATGTCCATGCAGAGCTGAGGCCTGAACCAGGCTGGCCACTGGGTCGGTATTTATTCTACTGATGGAGGGGCTGAGTGCTAGCAACACCCTCCCTAGAATACGAGAGTCTTTCGGGTTTTATTTTTTTGGCTTTTTGGGGTCACACCTGGCGACACTCAGGGGTTACTCCTGGCTCTGCACTCAGGAATCATTCCTGGTGGTGCTTGGGGGACCCTATGGGATGCTGGGAATTGAACTTGGGTCGGCCGCGTGCAAGGCAAACGCCCTCCTCACTGTGCTATCGTACCAGCGTCTAGAGTCTTTTGATAAGGACCATGTGCCTTCATGCTTCTGGTGAAGGAAAACTCCACAAAAGTGCAAACCCAAATGTGTCGGTTCTAGAGCGGAGACCTGGGGTGGGGGTGGGGTGGGGCGGAGGAGGGGCCGGGGTCTGAGATGTGGCCACAAAACATCTGTGTATGCTGAGTCCAAAGCCAAGCCAGCAACCCCACAAAAAGCAACACACTCACCTCAAACTCCCCCAGCAGTTTAGACAGGAGCAGACCGTCCGGGAATTTGGACACGACCTAATAACAGGGGAAAATGAGCACAACAGAGAAACACCCACTGGAAGGCTGGGGGAAGAATATCAAAATAGGGACCAGAGCGATAGCACAGTGGGTAGGGCTTTTGCCTTGCACGTGGCCGACTCGGGTTCGATTCCCAGCATCCCATAGGGTCCCCCAAGCACTGCCAGGAGTCATTCCTGAGTGTAGAGCCAGGAGTCAGCCCTGAGCCACACTGGGTGTGACCCAAAAAGAAAAAAAATATCAAAATAAGACCACAGAAATATCCAAGTGAGACCCTGTAAACTCAGTCACAAAGGTAGGTGATGACATGACCATCCAGGGAACTGTTGTCACAGTTTTATTTTTTTTTAATTTTTTTGCTTTTTTGGGTCACACCCGGTGAGGCTCAGGGGTTACTCCTGGCTCTGCACTCAGGAATCACTCCTGGCGGTGCTCAGGGGACGATATGGGATGCTGGGAATCGAACCAGGGTTGGCCATGTTGGCTGCATGCAAGGCAAACGCCCTACCCACTGTGCTATCACTCCAGCCCCTGTAGTCACAGTTTTAAAAGGTCATAATAACAACTGTCAAGTGAGACTCCCCCAAAAAACACGTTCAAAAAAACAAAAAAGAAAACACCCACATATATTACCTACTGTTTTTCATATGCACATAAGATAAATTTCATATTTTATTGCTTTTTTTTTGCTTTTTTGGGTCACACCCGGCAATGCACAGAGGTTCCTCCGGGCTCTTCACTCAGGAATCACTCCTGGCGGTGCTCGGGGGACCCTATGGGATGCTGAGAATCGAACCCGGGTCGCCCACGGGCAAGGCGAATGCCCTCCCCACTGTGCTATGGCTCCAGCCCCAAACACAAACTGTCTTAACACGATATCTGAAAGTGCCACCAAGTATTCTGACTCCCCGAAGCAGAACACACTTACGAACTTGATCTTGTGCTTCAGTTCCGAACTGACAGTGCTCCCTGGTCCCATCTGTGCAATGACGGATTTGAATGTGTTCTCCAACTATGAAAGGAGGAAGGGAAAAATCTCAAGTGAGAGCATGAGAAGAAACACAAGATCAATCTAAATAGCACAGACAGGAAGCATCCGAGGAAATCTATTTCAATCAAAGAGATCAAGTACTGGGGCTGGAATGATGCACAGCAGGGAGGGCGTTGGCCTTGCACGCAGCCAGCCCTGATTCAATCCCCGGCATCCCATGGGGTCCCCCGAGCACCGCCAAGAGTGATTTCTGAGTGCAGAGCCAGGAGTCAGCCCTGAGCATTGTTGCGTGCGGGGCCCCAAAACTAGAACAAAAGAGAGATCAAGTCCTACGGCATTTCATACCATGCCACGTCCAGGATAGATGAAACTTTCATGAAAAGGAACGTTTTGGATTTTTCCAGGATAATCAACATTCTCTCTGGGGCTGGAGCGATAGCACAGCAGGTAGGGGATTTGCCTTGCACACAGACAACATGGCCGACCCGGGTTCGATTCCCAGCATCCCACATGGTCCCCCGAGCACTGCCAGGAGTAATTCCTGAGTGCATGAGCCAGGAGTAACACCTGAGCATCGCCGGGTGTGACCCAAAAAGCAAAAATAGATAAATCAATAAATAATAATCAACATTCTCTCTACCACAGGGCCACGAGTCAGGGCCAGCTGAGAGCTGTAAAAGATGTGGAACTCCTGATCTATACTGATGATAGATACTCTTTTATCTAATTACTCCATACTCTTCTTTGGAAGGAATTTTTCTGATCAATATTCTTCTTTTTCTGAGAGATATTAGGTGATTTTTGGGGGGATGCGGGGGTCATACTCAGTGATGCTCAGTGGTTAATCCTGGCTCTGTGCTCAGGAATCACTCCTGGTGATGCATGGGGGACCCTATGGGATGCCGGAGATCGAACCCGGGTCGGCCGTGTGCAAGGCAAACGCCCTCCCTGCTGTACTATCCCCAGCCCGTTATTAGGTGATTATTAAGCAGATACTTAATGAGGCCAAATGCACAACAAAGGGGCGATGCGATGCCGGTGTTGCTGAGGAGAGGTGCTCGAAGGAGACGACTTGGGTACTGATGCAATGCTGGCCCCTTCTCGGTGTCCGACTGTGATTCTGTACAGATATTTCCTGACCCCTAACCTGGTCGGTTTTTCTTTCTTTTTCTTTTTTGGATCACACCCGGCGATGCTCAGGGGTTCCTCCTGGCTCTGCACTCAGGAATCACTCCTGGCGGTGCTCGGGGGTCCCTGTGGGATGCTGGGCCAGCAGGCGGCTACTAGCTGGTGGCCTCGTAACAGATGGCCCTCGGCAGTGCTCAGGCTGAGTCCTGGCCCCAGGAGGTCTCTGGGAACCCTCTGAGGCGGCTGGTCAGTGTGTGCATTGCCAGTGCCCTCCCTGATGTCCTGTGGCTCCGGCCCCCGTCGTGTTATTCTGGGCACTACGCAAGCTGCCGCCTCAGAGGCCTGTGTGGGACTGTCTCGCCGCTTTCATCCACTGTCCTTCATCATCGCAGTCCTAGAACAATCCCAGGCTTGTGGCCCTTGGGGCCAGCCAGGCAGGGGACGCTATTCATGAGGACACAACGGCGGCGGGCCTGTGTCCAACCGCTGGTGACCAGCACGAAGCAGAGACGGTCACCCGGGGGAGTGGAGGCGACTGTCATCTCCCCCGAAGCCTCTGGCTTCTAACGAACCCACGGAGCAGAGGGAAACGCTCAATTAAGCGTCACAGGAATGGGCGACATCACCCGCTCAGAGGTCAACCTCTAGCGGGACTCCAAACTGTTCTCCCAACCACTCACCTGGTTTAATTTCTCCGCATGACTCAGCCTGGAGGAGTCCCCCGCGTTCGACTTGGCAGTTCTGTCCAACCCCAGGATTTGCCGGGGCGCCTCGGACGGGGGGTAGCGGCCCTTGGCCATGGGCCCGCCGCTCAGGTACGGCCCCGGCTTCATCCGGAAGGGCTGGGCGAAGATTTTGCCTTCCCGGAGGAGAGAAGAAGACAGGAAAATTGTCACAGGCAGCGTCTCGGTTATATCTCTGACAGTCAGACCTGCAGAGGCCCAGCCCTGACTTTTTTTTTCGTTTTTGCTTTTTGGGTCATACCCAGCGATGCTCAGGGGTTATTCCTGGCTCTGCACTCAGGAATTACCCCTGGCGGTGCTCAGGGGACCCTATGGGATGCTGGCAATCGAACCTGGGTCAGCCGCGTGCAAGGCAAACGCCCTACCCGCTGTGCTATCACTCCAGCCCCCCAGCCCCGACTTTTGAATTCAAAATGAAATAGGGGTCCGAGCGATGGTACAGCGGGGAGGGCGTTGGCCTTGCATGCAGCCAACCCAGGTTTGATCCCCGGCATCCCCTAGGGTCTTCTGAGCACTGACAGGAGGGATTCCTGAGTGCAGAGCCAGGAGTCAGCCCTGAGCACTGGCTGGGTGTGGCCCCCCCACCAAAAAAAAGTAAAATGAAGATGACGGGCCCTTCTGACGCTGGGAAAATTTACATTAGGGCAGAAGCAAATAGGGGCGGGAGAGACAGTCTAGTAGGGAAGGCGTTTTCCTGGCACATGGCCGACCTGGGTTCGATCCCCATCATCCCCTAGGGTCCCCCAAGCACTCTCAGGAGTGATCCCTGAGCACCGCCGGGTATGAACCCCCAAACAAACAGGAAAAGAGGGATAGTCCAGCGGGGAAGGCATTTGCCTGGCACATGGCTGACCCGGGTTCAACCCCTGGCATCCCCTGGGGTGCTCTGAGCACTGCCAGGAGTGATCCCTGACCACCGCCGGGTGTGAACCCCAAAACAAACAGGAAAACAGAGCGATAGTCCAGGGTGCAGGGCATTTGCTTGGCACAGGGCTGACCTAGGTTCGATCCTCTGCACCTCCTAGAGTCCCCGGAGCACTGCCATGAGTGATCCCTGAGCACCGATGGGTATGAACCCCCCCAAAAAAACAGGAAAACAGAGTGATAGTCCAGCAGGGAGGGCGTTTACCTGGCACGCGGCTGACCCGGGTTCGATCCCCGGCATCCCATAGGGTCCCCCAAGCACCACCAGGAGTGATCCCTGAGCACCGCCGGGTGTGACCCCCCCAAAACAAACAGGAAAACAGAGAGAGAGTGTGGACCCACGATCGGCGCCCCTCACCCCTGCCCCCCAGCCGCGCCCACCTGCCGGCCACCGGCGGTGTCTCTCCTCCAACACACCCTTCTTCAGCATCAGCAGCGACCCGGCCCGCGTCTGCTCCACGGAGATGACGTCGGAGGCGGCGCTGAGCACTTCGAACATGGACAGGAAGCCATACTGCACGTACTGGAAGGAGCGGCCGAAGCGCTTGGCAAACGCCACCTCAAAATCCGACAGCAAGACGGGCGAGAGCGCCAGGAGGTCCTTGAGCTCGCTCTTCACCACGGCGGGGAGGATGGGGGGCACGCGGCCCCGATACGGCAGGCGTCGCGGCAGGCCGGGCCCCGGGCACATGCTGGCCCGGGCCCTCTGCACAGAGCTGCGGACTTTGTGGCTGCTCCGCTGTCGGGACACCAAGCTCGCCATCCCTTTGGTGGCCTCATCGGGGATGGCTGCGGAGAGGCGGGACACACTCTCACTCGGTGCAGAGCCCTGGGGACCTCTGGGGGGGAGGGGTGGTGGCCACACCTGCAGATGCTCGGGGGGGGGGGGCCTCCTGGCTCTGCACTCGGGAATCCCTCCTGGCGGGGTTCGGGGGACCGTGGGGGGGAGGGGCACAAAGCCAAGACCCCTTCCTATTGCGCTCTCTCGAACCCTGGGCAGTCTCGAACTCTCCACGGAGAGCCGGGTGTTGGGGGAAGGGTGGACCTTTGCGGCCTCCGTTCCTTGCAGGGATGGGGCCTGGTGACCGCTTGGGAGCATGTGAGAAGCTGTCAGCTTCTGCGGCCGACACGGGAACAAAAGAACAGATTGTGGAGCCAGAGAGACAGCACAGCGGGGAGGGCGCTGGCTTTGCACGCGGCCGACGCAAGTTCGATCCCCGGCATCCCCTAGGGTCCCCCTGAGCACTGCCAGGAGTGATCCCTGAGTGCAGGGTCAGGAGTCAGCCCTGAGCATCGCCGGGTGTGGCCCCCCAAAGGAAAACAAAACAAAAAGGTCAAGATCATCACGGAGCACTCCCTCTTCAAAGACCCTGAACCCGGGCTGGAGCGATAGCACAGCAGGTAGGGTGTCTGCCTTGCACACGGCCGACCCGGGTTCGATTCCCAGCATCCCATTGGGTCCCCCAAGCAGCGCCAGGAGTGATTCCTGGAGCAGAGCCAGAAGGAACCCCTGAGCATCACCAGGTGTGACCCAAAAACCAAAAAGCAAAAAAACAAAACAAAACAAAAAGACCCTGAACCTTTTGGACGGACTGGTCTGCCCTACGGGGTCCATGTGCATCAGGCTCTCAAATCCTGCAAGGACCATTTTAAGGTCCCATTACGGCCCTGGAGAGAGTATAGTGTGGAGGAGGCACTTGCCTGGCACCTGGCTGGCCCAGGTTCAATCCCCAGCACTGCACACAGTACCCCGAGCCCTGCCAGGAGTGAGCCCTGAACACAGCCCAGTCCTGGCCAGAAAACCACAGGAAGTCACCATTCCCATCACCGGGATGGAGGGATGGAGTGATGAAAAGATGGAGAGAAAGAGCGAGAGAGGGAGAGGGGGGTAGAGATGGAGAGAGACAGAGAGACAGAGACAGAGTGTCCAAGAAGAGCAAGAGAGGGAGAGAGAGAGAGAGAGCAAGAGACAGCGACAGGCAGAGAGAGAGTGAGTGAGACAGTGAGAAAGAGAAAGAGAGAGAGGGAAAGAGAGAGAGGGAGAGAGAGGAGAGCAAGAAAGAGACAGTCAGAGAGAGCGGGAGAGACAGAGACAGAGAAAGGGAGAGAGATGGAAACAGAGACAGAGAGAGGGAGAGAGATGGAAACGAGACAGACAGAGAGAGGAAGAGAGACAGAGATCAAGAGAGACGAAGAGACAGGGAGAGAGACACAAGAGAAAGACGGAGTGAGCAAGAGAGACAGAGAGAGAGCGAGAGCAAGAGACAGAGACAGAGAGAGCAAGAAAGAGAGAGACAGAGAGGGAGGAAGAGACACAGAGAGAGAGAGCGAGAGCAAGCGTTCAACAGCTCGGAGTTCCCATGGGAGGCCCCGGGCTCGATCGTCGATGCCACAGGCCTGGGCAGACCATGAGTACAGAGCCAGGAGCAGTCCTTGAGCTCCCAGGCTCTCCCCCCACCCAAAATAAATCAAGACCCCTTTCCGATGCTTCTGAAGATGCTGAAGACGCTGTCCCGGGCGTGCGCAGGTCTGAGTCTCCCACCCAGCTGCTGCCGGCCCAGCCCTGCCCACAGCCCTCCCCTCCCCCAGGGAAAGGCAGAGGGGCAGCTGGGGGGGGGGGTGTTTCTCTGGGATCTGTAAGCTAAGGGCTTACAGAGGTTAGAGACCTCAGCCCCAAAGCTGCAGGCGCCCTTCCATATGTAAAAACTGAGACAACGCCCAGGTTCTCCTAACACTGCTGGGCTAGAGCGAAGAATACTGAGCGGCAGCAATGGATATGGGAAGCGAGTGACTGTTGGTGACTGTTGGTCTAGAGCTGTGACCAGAGAGTGACTGCTGGTCTAGAGCCTGACTATGGAGGGTGAGTGACAGTTGGTCTAGAGCCCTGATATGGAGTAAGTGTTGGTCTAGAGCCTGACTATAGAATGACTGTTGGTCTAGAGCCGTGACTATGGAGAGTGGGTGACTGTTGGTCTAGAGCCATGACTGTGGAGAGCGAGTGACTGTTGGTTTGAGCCATGAGGGACTGTTGGTCTAGAGCCGTGTCTACGGAGCGTGACTATTGGTCTGGAGCAATGAATACCAGAAGTGACTTGTTGGTCTAGAGCCATGACTATGGAGTGAGTGACTGTTGGTCTAGAGCTGTGGCTGTGGAGAGCGACTGCTGGTCTAGAACCCTGATTTTGGAGAGTGAGTGACTGTTGGTCTAGAGCTGTGACTACGAAGTGTGACTATTGGTCTAGAGCCATGATTGTAGAGAGTGATTGTTGGTCTAGAACCATGACTATGGAGAGTGACTGTTGGTCTAGAACCCTGATTATGGAGAGATGAGTGACTGCTGGTCTAGGTCCATGACTGTGGAGAGTGACTGTTGGTCTAGAGCTGTGACTATGGAGAGCGAGTGATTGTTGGTTTGAGCCGTGAGGGACTGTTGGTCTAGAGCCGCGTCTATGGAGCGTGACTGTTGGTCTAGAGCAATGAAGACCGGAAGTGAGTGACTGTTGGTCTAGAGCCATGACTATGGAGTGAGTGACTGTTGGTCTAGAACCCTGCTTATGGAGAGTGAGTGACTGTTGGTCTAGAGCTGTGACTATGAAGCGTGACTGTTGGTCTAGAGCCATGACTGTGGAGAGTGACTATTGGTCTAGAGCTGTGACTATGGAGAGAGACTATTGGTCTAGAACCCTGATTATGGAGAGATGAGCGACTGCTGGCCTAGAGTCTTGACTATGGAGTAGGGACTGTTGGTCTAGAGCCTGTCTAGAGCCTGACTATAGAATGACTGTTGGTCTAGAGCTGTGACTATGGAGAGTGGGTGACTGTTGGCTAGAGCCATGACTGTGGAGAGCGAGTGACTGTTGGTTTGAGCCATGAGGGACTGTTGGTCTAGAGCTGTGTCTACGGAGCGTGACTGTTGGTGTAGAGCAATGAAGACCGGAAGTGAGTGACTGTTGGTCTAGAGCCATGACTATGGAGTGAGCGCAGCAACAGCTCCCCCTGTCAGCCCCCTGTCCCCTCACTCCGGCCTCTCGCTTGCGGGCCCTCTGCACGTCTGCCTCCCTGGGGCTGCCCCCGCCAACCTCCCCCTCCCCGCTGTGCTTCCTGCGACGCCGGAGCCATGCTTGGCAGCGGAGGTGGGGCGCGTCCCCGAGCCCACCTTTGAGGATGACGTTGCCGTCGCGGCAGGGGCAGATGCTGACCACGTCGGGCATGTCCAGCAGCAGCTCCATGGTGGAGCGGTAGCCCAGGGCGCGCAGTGGCAGGTGGCCGCCCATCATCAGCAGGTACTCCTTCTCCAGCTGGGGCAGGCTCAGGCCGTCCTTGGCCGAGATGAGCAGGGCCCGGATCTCCTTGCGCACCGACTCCTGCACGCGCTCCTGCTCAGACATGGCGCCCTGCGGGGGGGAGGGGGGCAGGGGGAGGCAGAGCCGAGCACGCAGGGGTGAGGACGGGGGGGGGGCAAGGTCAAGATGGGGTGTGGGCACAACATGAAGGAGACCCGTGTGTGTGTGGGGGGGGGGGAGGGATGCATGCCATCCCCAGCATGGTATGATCCCCAGACCACCCCCCCAGGGGTGACCCCTAAACACGGCTGGGAACCCCCAAATCCAAGTCAGGGGCCCTGCGAGGTCGGACAGGGTGGGGAGGGGAGAGGCGCTTGCCTTGCACACAGTTGACCCAGGTCCGATCCCAGCACAGCATGGGGTCCCCCGAGCACTTCCGAGAGGGATTCCTGAGCACAGAGCCTGGAGTAAGTCCTGAGCACCGCTGGGTATGGCCCCCAAGCAAGCAAGCAAACAAACAAACAAAAAAAAACAACAATTAAAAAAAAATCTCTGACCTTCCCTCTGGGGGCCGAAGAGATGGTACAGCCGGTAAGGCGCGGGCCTTGCTCGCGGCCGCCCGGGGTTCGGTCCCTGGCACAGCATTTGGTCCCCGAAACACCGGCACGAGCGATCCCTGAGCACAGCCAAGTGCGGCCCCAAATCCAAAGCAAGGAGACAAGAAAACAGACAAAACTGTCCAGCAGGGGCGGGGGGTGTCGGTGATGAGGCAGGTCCCCGTGTACCCCCCGACTGGTGACCTCAAGTGACCCCTCTCCTGGCCGTGACCCCGGGCCTGACAGCGCGTGACCACGCCCCCCCCAGTCAAAACAAACCCTGGTGGATAAAGGGTAAGAGTGGGGGGGACCCTCAACCCCCCATCCGACCCTGACCTCCCCACCAGTGCCCAGGGACCAAGCTGTGATGGTCTCCAGGACTCCCCAGGGGCGAGTACGGGGGTCCCAGGGCCGCCTGGGGGTCATTGGCGGCCCACCCCACCCCCACCCCACTCTGGGGGGCGCGGGCTCCGCCCCTTACCCCGCCCCCAACGCCTCTTAGACCCCCCCAGCGGAGCGGGCAGGGGTCCTCCGGGGCGTGAAAAGGAGCGTGAAAGGGGCCCACGGGGGCGAGGCTGGGGGCAGCGGGGCGCCCCTCACCTGGCCGTTGTGGGGAGTCGCCCAGGGTCCAGGGAGGGGGGGACAGCGGCGACCAGCAGCGTCCGCGCCTGCGCAGCGGCCAGGCCTGCGGGGAGCCCCCTGGGGCGGCCGGTGGGACCGTTGGGCCCCTGGGGCGGGGCCCCGGCGTCCCCGTCCCCTCTCCCGGCGGGGTCAGAGGACAAGGGGCAGCGAGCGGGGGGGGGGGGCAAGGAGGCCAGGGCCCGAGGCAGGGGTGAGGGGGTCGGAGGAAGGGGCGGCGGGCTGGGGTAAGGGTGGGGGTCCCGGGTCCGAGGACCCCCGGGGGTGGGCAGAAAGGATGCCCCGGAGAAGAACGCGCCTGGGGACCGTGACAGGGTCCTTGGGGGGCATGAAAGGGGTCTGCACAGGTCCAGGGGCCACCGCGCTCTTGGAAAGCGAATGCCGACCCCCCCCTTATAAAAATAAAAAACGGTCCCTAAGTTGTCCCCAAGTCGCAGCAGCCGCCCCGACCCTCCCCGGGCCGTCCACTAGGGGGCAGTGCCGTCCACGCCTGGGAATAAAAACGACCACGGGCGGCGGGAAACGCACGTCCTCGGACCCTGCTCCCCAGCAGGGCAAAAGGCAGCCCTCGAGGGGGCTGGAGCGACAGCACAGCGGGGAGGGCGTTTGCCTTGCACGCGGCTGACCTGGGTTCGATCCTCGGCATCCCATAGGGTCCCCGAGCACTGCCAGGAGTGATTCCGAGCCGGGAGTCAACTCTGAGCATCACCGGGGACGGGGGAGGGGGGGACCCAAAAAGTCAAATAATAATAATAAAAATAATATTAATAATAATGATAATAAATAAAAAGGGAAGGGGGTTGGAGCAATAGCACAGCAGGGAGGGCATTGGCCTTGCATGCGACTGACCCGGGGTTCGATCCCCGGCAACCCCTAGGGTCCCCCGAGCACCACCAGGAGTGATCCCTGAGTGCAGAGCCAGGAGTCAGCCCTGAGCATCGCCAGGTGGGACCCAAAAAGAAAAAAAAAAAGCAGCCCTGGACGAAGAAGGGGCACAAGCAGGCCATTCGAACATTCTAGAAAGTTCAGCGTTCTCCTCTACAGGGCCTGAGAAGAGCTTCTGCACACAAAAAATTGAGCTCAGCGTAGGCTCTCGTCCCCAATTAGCCGAGATAACAGGATACAGGTTTCTCCAGCGCTGATGATGGGGCTTCAATTTATGCTCAATTATTCCCAGGCAGCACATGATGAGGGTTCCGGGTTTGAAAATACGGACGCACCCCCCACCTGTTCCTTCTCTCACTCCTCAACATCACAAACACACACACACACACACACACAAACACACACCATCCCCCCCCCTTCTCAACGCTCAACATGCATCTCTCTCTCTCTCTCCCTCTCCCCCTCTCCCTCTCCCTCCCTCCCTCCCTCCCTCCCTCTTGTGGGCTTCTTCCATTCCGTAGAAGCCCACGTTCCTCACTTAACTGCACATTCCTCTCTGCCTCTTTCCCCCACATGGCTGAGTAAATCTCCTCCCCCCAAACCAAATTTTTTGCTTCCCAAAATCAAGTGAGAAAACTGATCAAAGATTGCGACTCTTAACTCAAAGAAAATTGTTTTTAATTGGTGACTAAACGTTGGAAGTCACTGCCACATAATACGAAATAAAGAGAGAGAGAGGGGTAGGAGCGATAGCACAGTGGGGAGGGCGTTTGCCTGGCACGCGGCTGACCCCCGGGTTCGATCCCCGGCATCCCATAGGGTCCCCAGAGCACCGCCAGGAGTGATTCCTGAGTGCAGAGCCAGGAGGAACCCCTGTGCACCGCCGGGTGGGACCCAAAAAGGAAAAAATAAAAAAGATATTCCAGAGCTAAATTCCAGATCAACAGTAAAACTTAGAGCATTGACATTTTGATTTTTTTTTGGAGCACTTTTTTTTTTTTTGCTTTTTGGGTCACACCCAGCAATGCACAGGGATTTCTCCTGGCTCTGCACTCAGAAATTACCCCTGGCGGTGCTCAGGGGACCATATGGGATGCTGGGAATCGAACCCGGGTTGGCCGCGTGCAAGGTGAAAGCCCTACCCGCTGTGCTATTGCTCCAGCCCCCAGCATTGACATTTTACCTTCATAAAATGTCAGGGTTGGAGACACAGAATGGGGGGCTACAGATGTGCTGGCACGCACCTAGCACGGGTTCAACCTCTGGCCTCTCTGCCCATTGCTAGGAGCGATCCCTGAGCACAGAGCCAGGAGCAAGCCCAAGTTTAGAAAATACGGTGTTGTGGGTGTTGTGGTTTGCAAAAGAGGCAATGGGTGGGTGGCAATCATGTTTGGTCTCTAGTCTACTTTCAGCATGCTTCTCCCATCCTGGGAGGATCCTCCCAATACCCTTTATTTGGTGCTCCCTTCTCTATCTGAGCCCCCCCAAAGGACAAAAATGTCTGTAGATCTGGACCTATACATACCCCCTTCTTTCTGTTACACCCCCCACTTCCTGGTGGGTTCAGCTTTGCTGATGCCCCCCTAAGAAGCAGATTCAGGGGGCTGGCGACGGAGAGAACAGACGGGTCAAGCCGATATGGCCAGCTGGATATCCCCAGCATTGCAGTGTCCCCGAAGCACCACCACTAGGAGTGACCACTAGGAGTGACCCCTGAGAGCCTCTGAGTGGGTCTCATCCCCCAACCCCACCAATAATAATAATAATAAAGCTAAACAAAAAGACTCAACCAAGCAATATCTCTTAGCAATGCTTGGAGCTGGAGAACCCCGAGACATTCTAGCACTTGTGGACAAAAACAGCATTTTTGCAGGTCAGGGCTGAATGAGCAAAGAAAAGCCAGGTGGGGAATGTCAAGAAATATTGAGAAATATTTCGTGACATCCTCCCGGGGAGTAATGAAAGAAAAATAACGCAGGGCACGAGATTAGTACCAGGAATTTTGCTCCATGGCTTGGAGGCCAGTCACACATGCTAGGGGAAAAGGGAGCTCAGATAGAGAAGGGAGCACCAAGTAAAGAGTGTTGGGAGGATCCGCCCAGGATGGGAGAAGCATGCTGAAAGTAGACTATAGACCGAACATGATTGCCACTCAATGCCTCTCTTGCAAACCACAGCACCCAAAAGGAGAGAGAGAACAAAGGAGAATGCCCTGCCACAGAGGCAGGGTGGGATAGGGGGGATGGGGGGTGGGAGGGATGCTGGGACCCGTAGTGGTGGGAAATGGGCACTGGTGGAGGGATGGGTATTCGATCACTGTATAATTGAAACCCAAGCACAAAAATTTGTAAGTCTACAACTGTACCTCATGGTGTCTCACGAATAAAAATTAAAAATGAATAAATAACGCAGGGCAGGGGAGTACCAGCGGCTGCTGCCTTTACTGGAATCTCTGCCTGTGATTTATCTCAGGGGTGGGGGATTTCAGTTGGGGGGGGGCCACCAGCATCTGTCACAAGCCAGGTACAGGTTCTACTGCTGGCATCTAAGTGGCACGCTTAGAAAACACTTGGGCTGGGGGCCGGAGTGATGGCACAGTAGGGAGGGCATTTGCCTGGCACATGGCCAACCCGGGTTCGATCCCCAGCATCCCATAGGGTCCCCCGAGCACCGCCAGGAGTAATTCCTGAGTGCAGAGCCGGGAGTAACCCCTGAGCATCGCCGGATGGAACCCAAAAGGATAAAAAAAAATGAAGTCCTGTTGATCCCACCATCTTGGGGAAGTAAGTTAAGGCATCTTCGTGCCGAACTTCCAGAAATGCTTTCCAAGGTACTGCATGCTGTAGGTGATGGCATTTGGTTGTCTCAGGAGTAGGGAAAACCTTAATAGTCAATTTCATGTTACTAATGTTACCTACAGTATCACGCTACTGATGGTCAATTTCAGGCTGCCCTTGGCCTCTTGTTCATAGACACACATACCCT